TTAATATAATTAAATATTTTTAAAAATTTAGTTTTATATTTTTATTTATTATAAATGAAATTTTAAAGTTTAATTGAATTAGTTACGTAATTAATTATTTAATGCTAAATAGAAGATGAAGTCTCTTACAAACTGCAAACTCTAGATAAATTAATATAAATTTAAAATTTTATATTTAATAAAATATAAAAATAATTTTTTCTAGATTGTATTCTTTTTAACAGAATTTATAAATCTTAAATATTTTCTTTATTAATTTTAGTCAAAATTTATCAGAATCTGATTTTTCTAGAAATCCTTCTAATTTATCTTTTAATTTGTAATCCTAACCTATATAATATTATTTTAATGTCATTTTTCATATGTTTTTTAAGATTAATAAATCTATTCAAAATTTTGCTTTTATATTCAAATAATTATTTTTATAATACTAATTATATTCATTATACAGTAGTATTTCAGTTAAATTTGAATTAATATGAAATAAAAATTAATTATTTTATTTAATTTATACATATACTTAAATTATAATTTACAATATTATATTCTTTTTCTGCTAAATTTTAAATAATAGTCAGAATTAATAAAAGTAAAATAAATAAATTTATAAAATGATCAAAATAATTAAATTTTACCAGAATTAATAAAAAGTTTAATTGAATATAACAGTATGTGAAGAAAATAAATCACTCCTTACAAAGATCATGTCTTTAATAGTAATATTAAAGTTGTTGTTGTGCATTTTCAGCTGCTTGTTTATAATATTTAAAGGCTTTAACTTCATCTTTTTCAACACCTTTTCCATTTTGATAACATATAGCTAAATTATATTGAGCAACTACATGTTCTTTTTCAGCTGCTATTTTGTAAAATTCAAATGCTTTGTCTTTATTATTTTCAGTTCCAATTCCAAATTCATAACAATATCCAAGTTGACATTGTGCATCAATATCATCATTTTCAGCTGCTTTTTTATAATATTCAAAAGCCTTAACTTCATCATATTCAGTACCTATACCATTTTGATAACATATTGCTAAATTATATTGAGCAACAACATGCTCCTTTTCAGCTGCTATTTTATAAAATTCAAATGCTTTTTCTTTATTAATTTCAGTTCTAATTCCAAATTCATAACAATATCCAAGTTGAAATTGTGCATTAATATCATCATTTTCAGCTGCTTTCTTATAATACTTAAAGGCCTTATCTTCATCTTTTTCAATACCTTTTCCATTTTGGTAACATATAGCCAATTTATATTGAGCAACAACATGTTCTTTTTCAGCTGCTATTTTATAAAATTCAAATGCTTTTTCTTTATTAATTTCAGTTCCAATTCCAATTTCATAACAATATCCAAGTTGACATTGTGCATCAATATCATTATTTTCAGCTGCTTTTTTATAATATTCAAAAGCTTTAAGTTCATTTTTTTCAATACTTTCTCCATTTTGATAACATATAGCTAAATTATATTGAGCAACAACATGCTCCTTTTCAGCTGCTATTTTATAAAATTCAAATGCTTTTTCTTTATTAATTTCAGTTCCAATTCCAAATTCATAACAATATCCAAGTTGGCATTGTGCATTAATATATTCTTTTTTAGCTGCTAGATTATATAATTCAAAAGCTTTAACTTCATCTTTTTCAACACCTTCTCCGTTTTGGTAACATCTAGCTAAATTATATTGAGCAATAATATGCTCTTTTTCAGCTGCTATTCTGTAAAATTCAAATGCTTTTACTTTATTAATTTCAATTCCAATTCCAAATTCATAACAATATCCGAGTTCAAATTGTGCATTTAAGTATCCTTGTTCAGCTGATTTTTTAAATAATTCAAAAGCTTTTCTTTCATTTTTTACTATTCCTTTGCCATCTTTATAACAATTTCCTAAATTATATTGAGCAATTTTATTGCCATTCTCTGCTGCTTTTTGAAAATAGGAAGATGCTTTTTCATAATTTTGTTTTATTCCAATACCATTATAATTATTAATTCCGATTTGTCTTAATCCTTCAAAATAAACTACTTTATAAAGTCTTTCATTTCTTTTCTTTTTAAAAGTAATTTTTTTATTATAATTTTTCTCAAAAGTATATTTTGCAATAATATTTCCATTATTAGCTGCTTTTTCATATATATTACAGGCTTTTACTTTATCCATTACTGCACCTATTCCATAATAAAAACAATTTCCAAGTTGATATTGTGCGTCAGATATTTCTTTATCTGATAATATATTATAATATTCAAAAGCTTTAATTTCATCCTTTTTAACTAAATTTCCCAACCTATAGCAATCTGCTAAATTTAATCTTGCGATCATATTTCCATTATTAACTGCTTCTTTATACCAAAATATTGATTTTACTTTATTTGGTTGTATTCCGACGCCAAATTCAAAACAATTTCCTAGATTAAATTGTCCAATAATACTTCCATTTTCTACAGATTTTTGATAATACTCAAAAGCTTTATCATGATTTTTTTCAGTTCCATATCCTTCATAATAGCATTTAGCAAGATAAAATTGCGCAATTGAGTAGTTATCATTTGATGCTTTTAAAAATAATGCAAATGCTTTTCTACTATCTTCATCTATATCAATATTATGATAATAAAAGAATCCAAGAAACCACATATATTGCAGTTCATTTTGATGTTTTATAAGCCAAGTTATAAGAATATTTATGGATTGATTTAATTTCAATAATGGTTTTTTAATAAGATTTTCAATTTGATCAATTGAGAAGATGCCTTCATTATGTTTTTTAATTATATAATCGATTAACTTATCAATAATATTGTTAATTGTATAATTATATATTGATTCTAATGAATCCAATGAACTTTTTGATGAATTTGTAATTTGATAAGACGGATTTGATAAATTAATTTTAGCTTCAGATTTTCGTCTTAGAAAACTTGAATTATTTTCTGATTTAATATTTTTAAATTGATCAAATAATTCATATAATATCAAATCATCATTATCTATCTTTATTTCACTTGATACATCAGATTTAAGGCTGGATTTATCATTCGTTGTTGAATTACTTTGTTCCTCGTGATGGACATCAGAAGAAACTATTTTTTTAAGTATTGAGACTACCTCTTTTGTATTTGGGCGTTTTTCTGGATCATCTTTCCAACATTCTAATGATGTAAAAAAATAAATAAATAAATAACCAAAACAAAATTTACTATAATCATAATATCACTTACTTACTTTGATATAGAGCATAGTACTCAATTGGAGTTCCTTTGATCACTTTCTCTCTTTTTCCACTTGCGATACTTAAGGATAAACTCACATCATAATCAACACCATTAAATGGCATACATCCACTTGAAATTTGCCACATCAATACTCCAATACTATAAACGTCAGATTTTTTATTCATTACATAGCTCTTATTTTGATTATCAAAGCATTTTGGGTCCATATACGGTATTACGCCAAAATTTCTTGCGTTGTTTGAAGCTTCAGCGATTTTTCTTGATTCACCAAAATCTGCTATCCTGATGCTTCTCCGATGGATAAGTATATTATTTGCATGCTGTGATTAAAAGAAATTTAATACGACTCTAATAAATATAAATGATTATATAGAAATAAATAAAGCACACATTACCAAATCACGATGTATAATATCATTATTATGCATACATTCTACAGCACTTGCCAATTGGAATGCTAGCTGATATTTGTCATTCCAATCAAGCTTATCAAAATACTGAATTAAATAATTATTTAATGTATCACCATCAGCATATTCTAAAACTAATAAGTATTTATTCGTTTGATGAATTACATCTAGCAAATTGTTTAAAATTAATATTCATAATAAATTGTTAAAATTAATATTCATAATAAATTTTTTAAATTTAATATATTTTAATTCTTACCACATCCTATTTTTGTAATTCCATAAAATCGTAATATATTTGGATGATAATCAAGTTTTTTTTGTAATTTAATCTGTAAAAAATATACAAAATTTAATCGAGTTATTAATCTGAAAATTATATAATCATTATATTTAAATACCTCATTGACAATTTCTTTAAGGGTTAACTTTAAATTGTCAAACGACTTCAAAGCAAAAATGACATCACTATCTTTCCATTTAGCACGAGAAACTTTTCCAAAATTACCACTTCCTATTGGTTGTATATTGTTGAAGTCTGAATATTCATAATAATTGAAATATTCGTCGACAATTGATTTTTCTAACCAATTAAGATATTCATGAATGTCGATGTCATTTGCCATTTTCTAAAAAAAAAAAAAAAAAAAAAAAAAAAAAAAAAAAAAGTGAAGTGTAACTAAGTTGTTCATTTGTTGATCAGCATTTTATTTATGTTTGAAGAACTGTACACAACATAGAGTGCCGATCTGAAAATATAAGCTGATTTTTATGAATTGTATTGTTTAAATTAATTTAAAAGTATATTGTTAGACATAACGCACTTCCTCTTATTAGATGATTTGATCCAAAATATATACATGATTTAAACTAGGGAACAGGGACCGTTGTTAAGTCCGGAACAATCTTAACTAAAAAAAATTGCATCGACTCAATTATTGAGCGGGCGGATATCGGGACACTTTTCACTTCGTTCCAGACTAATAATTACTAGAAAACGGGTAACCGTTGTTAAGTCCGGACTAATAAAATTGATGAATTTCCATCACCAGATAATAATCCGTAACTTGATATGGATAGCAAACCCATATTATGATTTAATTGAGTGGAAACTTATACAACGGCAAAGAAGAATCCTAATCAAACGTTGCATATTTCTCAGTTCAATATTAAGAAAGTAAGCTAATGATGGAATCAATGAGAGATTTCCTTTTTTTCGGGTTACAACATTTGTGATTTTAATAGCACTCACAATATAATAAGGATGTGGATTCTTCTTTAGTTCATAAATTATAATTAATAATTTGCAAAATGATTTAAAAGAAACCTAAAGTGATATCATGAAGAAAATAATTTGGAAGCCAGAAATAATTTCACTCTTCAACCTTAAAATCCTTGGTAGAGATTGGAATCAGTCCAAATTTCGTAGTTAACTACTAACGAAATTTGTCAGGTGTCTACTTTAATTGGTAAGTTTGAAAGTGCATTTATCTACATACTTATGATTTAGGTTCTCATGTTGACAATACAGGTATGGAGCACTCTATTTACCATTAGTACACATACAGTATTTATTTCTTTTGATAAAATTAGCGAATTAATTAGACTTCAATTAATTATTGTTCAGTGTCCACTAATGTTCAGTGTCTATTAATGTTCAATGTTTCGTGTTGTAATTCATAACATAAATTTATTTATTAAATCAATAACGTGATCAAAAAAGTAAAAGAAAAAAGATGATCTATATCTTAAATATCTTAAAGAATCAAAATAATAATTTCTCGCAACTCAAAATTTTAATTGCTTTATAAAAATTACATCTTTCAATTATCAACATATAGGTTGATTGCTAGGAAAATCAGGTTCCGGGAATTTTTTAACAAATTGAGATTTTTATTGCATTTTAGTTTTTGACGTTATTAGAATAAAATGCATTAAGCTCTTAATTTTAGTCAAAAATTTTTCGGAACCTGATTTTCCTAGAAATCCTCCATATACAGTATATTCTTCCTAAATTATCAATCCAGACTCCTCATCCAAAGGAACCCGCCCACCAAAATTAATTTCGCACTCATCACAACCTCGATTCGTCAACAAATTCGGCCTTGCTAGAATGTATTGTTAAAGAAAATTTAACTGAATTTATTTTTTTTAAAAGAAAGCAATGTTCCTTTTGATTAACCTACTAAGTTTTATTAAGCCTTGCGAAATTCCGCTTTGTACTTCAAGCTTGTAATCTTCATTAATTTTTGTTATGATGATCAAAAAAAAAAAAAATAATTAAAAGAAAACTTAGCATCCAAATTATAAATCTCCATCAAATAAGCTAATTAGGTTTATTCTTGGCAAAAGCTGTAAGAATATTCAATGTAAAAATATATAAATAAAAAATCAATTACCAAAATATATTTTTTTTTTGTTCTAAACTAAATTAAACCAAACTAAATTTGACATAGGCTAATGTTTATTAATTATCAAACATAAGCGAAAATATAAACTAGGACCGGAACCGAGGAGAAAAACTGCTAAGATTGATATTGGTAAGGGTTTTCTCTCATTTCGGGGACACCCATGTGGCCTCTGAAGTGCCTAACCACTCCAAAGAATGAGTCACTAGCGGCAGCAGAAAGACGAACACAACTTGGGGAGGGAGTTTTTCTGTTCATATTCAATTGGAAATAATGTCGTTCCGCTCTAAACAAGTTGCCGACACTTGTATCTATATTTACTGTATGTGTAACCTGATTTCTTTTTTTTTTTTTTTGATAGTTACCGATCGTAATGATTTTCTTTCTGTACAACTTCACGTTTATTCAGTAATCATGATGGTTAATTTATTTTAAAGAATTCCGAAATACTAAACACACAACTTCCCATTAAACATTCGCACATTACATCTTCATTGATTTTATTATAAAAACTCATCTTCTCATGAAAATTTTTATATTAAATTATCGAGTTTTTTAAATGCATCACTTTGTCTTTCTTGATTAGTCTGACCAATTTTTTTTGCGTATCTTTGTGAAAATTCTTTAGGAAATAAATTTATCATTGGATACCTCTGTGACTTGATGTGTATTTTTATTTTTTTTTTTTTAAAAAAAAAAAGTTAATCTTTATTTATATTTTGATTTTATTTTTGAGGTTTCTTTTTTTGATTATACTACAGTAATTGAAAAAACCTAACTCTTGAGCGGATAACTCAATTTTTTGAATATGGAGATGACAGTACGTCTAAACTATATTTGGAAATATCTCTAATCATAAACTGAAATTTTTGGTTAGTATTTATTATATTTGGAAAATCAAACCATTCCAAAAAAAATTAAGCAACGTGCCACCAGTGTTTCAGCATTCTAAAAAAAAGGTTCGTTAAACGACAATGAACAAAATGTAAAATTTTTAGCATAGATGCAGAAATTCCTTTTCTTTTTTTTTTTAAAAATAAAAAAGACATCATGAGATTCTTGGTGTTACACAACACATCAAATGACATTTGCTGCGTCAAATATAAATTTTAATTTTTGCTCTATTTATAATTTTCTGTTTGCATAGTAAATTATTATAATTTATTTCCTAAAAATATTTTGTTGTAATTGAAAAAAAAGCAGATTCGGAATAAACTTTTTCGTATCGTTCGTTTTGTTCCGTCTCTACGATTCTTAATTAGGATAATCCCTAAGAATGACGATAATTTGAAGGTTATTAGAATTTTTGTCAAAAAATCTCAATCGTATTTTCCTAGAAATTATCTACGTCTTCGAAATAGAATTTACTTGGCAAAAAGAATAGTATGCTAATAAACTTTTATAAATTTTTCCCAACCTTAATATGTAGAATGTCTATTATTTTTGCTAACTATAAATTGGTTAGTTTAGTTAAGTTGCTTCTGATGTATATACAAATAAACTATAAGAAATATAATTAATGTCCTGAAAAGTGGTTGTAAAAAAAAAAAAAAAAAAATTCGGGAAATTTTAGTACTAAAAGGAATTAGTAATCCCATTAAGTCCCGAAAGTCAAAATAAAGATGAGATTATACGATATAAGCGAAAAAAAGAAAAAAAATACCTGTCATGACAATGCAAACTAAAGGTTAAACTACTTCATATGGCCCGTCTTAAACATAATTCGATAACAACTAGCAAAAATCTTGTGATATCTTGACACGTAACTTTGATACTAAAACAAAGAAGTTGCATAAGATATATGTTATTAGTTGTCGGTGTAACAGGATTTTGTGAGTGAATCATCAATATCATCAAAAAAAATTTCTTGAATGGGGAAATATTTTTTTTTTGCAGTTTTCGGCAATTGTTATGCCACCTGATCATCACGTTGCAATATTGATCAGGGCCTATAAAAGCAAAAGAAGAAAGGAACAGATCAAAAGAATTGTCCAATTAAAATCAAGATTGATGTTCGATAATGTTAAAAAGTACATCAAAAAAATAAAAAAAACCCGATCCACGAAATTTTATATTTCTCCAAAATTAAATCAATAATTCCAATGATTACGATATATTAAGAAAGTTGTCCAGTTTAAATTATAATCTCCAAAGTCATTTTATAATTAAATTATTTATTCCGCGAACAAGAGTGTTGTCCAGTCAAAATTAAAAATTTCCATCAATAAATCAAAAAAAATATTCACTAAAAAATCTAACCAATCCACGCAAACATTATATAATATACTATTATATTTATTGTAAAATCTTCAAAAAATTTTCCAAATTCTATTGCTTATTCCACGTTCAAGTGTTGTCCAGTCAAAATTAAACGCGTTAGTAAAGTTAACATAAAAAAAAAAAATTATCAAAAAAAAACTAAATAGAGCAAACCCAATCCATATATACATATTTTTTATAATGTACTACTATACTATCTACCATTGCTAATTC